GTGACTTTTATGAAGCACTACGCTATAGTCGATCAGCTTGCTTCAGATTTTTCTGTGGCTACAGCGGCACTGAATCATGCTGGTAGTCTTGATTCCGGAGCGCTCTGATTCTGTTCCGAGTACTGCTCCGGAGTCACCTAGAGTGGAGCACCCTGGGGCCACTCGAAGAAGAAAAGGAAGTTACTCACCCTGTGAAGTAACGATTGTTCTTTGAGATGTGTCCCGTGGGTGCTCCACGACCCGCCCGTCCTCCCCGCTCCGGAGTTTTTCTCTCTTAATTTGTCTTAACCTGAGGCGGTTGAGAAGAACTGACGGTTGCCGGCTCGCGCGCGGCTGATCAAAGGCGCGAACGCTATCCTGGGGAACCACGCATGCACGAGCCGGCAGAGCACGGCTATGAAAAGTCTCCGAGCCGCGGCGCCAGGACAGGACCCGACACCTAGAGTGGAGCACTCACGGGGCCACTCGAAAAAGAATAAGATATTTCGAAATAATACCGTAATGTAGACATACCCACTGAGAACAGGTCATCTGATCCTCTGGATTGAGCCTTAACTTATACAGGACGTTTCTTAGCAATGTATTTTTATTAGTAAAGTGATCAAAAACATATACTAAAAAGACTAACCTATTCCAGAAGCAGTTGGGCACATTTTAAGCTATCTTTCAACTTCAGGTGAAGTTTTCAGAGGGAGGTGAATTATTTCAAAAAACATCCCACCTCTCTCTAAAATAATCCAGCTGTTCTGAAGATCAGTGTGATTTTGCCTTTTTTCTGGCAGATAATGGGAACAATATGAAATACCGTATTCAGATTTCCTTGGCTCACCACCCCAACATAACAATGGCCTAAAAAAATTGTATTTATTTATTTTGCTAAATACAAGCATGAATAAAAAATAAATCCCTAAAATCTATTTAGTTCAACATACCTGCAGCTGCATTACCACGTAGTTAAATCTGTCATTCCGTCCGCAGCCAATGAATCTACAGACATGGTCTTTCCCTGAGGGGAAAAAAGAAACAAGTTAGCCAATTACACCTAATGTTTGTCTGTCTTCATTTAGATATCTAGTAAAATATGCAAAAATGTGCTAATATATTACTCTAGGTGCCTTTATCCAACTTAAAAAATGATATTCACACTAAAACAGTAGTGAAGCAGCTCTGCTGCCAGTGAAACAAAACTCCTTCTGCCATACAGATCAGCTCCCTTAGCAGTGCGGAATGATCTAAGCCAGGGGTGTCCAAACTTTTTTCAAAAGAATGATCTAAGCATACTTAATCCTGCCTCAGTACAGAGGGAAGAACTGGATGATCTTTTCCACACCAAGGATTATACGTTCTAGAATATTTATTGCACTATGCCTACACTTATCACCAGGATACCTCCATCCCACACGGCTATACTATAGGCTTTGAAAACAGTGCCCTTTATACTCACCATGACATACCACACTAATACCAACCCTGGTACCTTCCCTTGCAACAAACCCCATTGCCAACTTTGTCCACATATTCATTCTGCTGATACCATTATTGGACCTAACCAAGTGAGTTATAAGATCAAGAACACATATTCCTGCGCATCCAGAAATATAATCTATGCTATCATGTGCCGAAAGTGTCCGTCTGCTATGTACATTGGACAAACATCTCAGACACTTCGCCAAAGGATTAATGCCCACAAAACAGATATCAGACAAGATCACAAAGAAAAAACAGTTTCTTGCCATTTTAACCAGAAAGGACACTCTCTCAATGACTTGACCACCTGCATTCTGCTACAAAGACCTTTTACATCTGCACTTGAAAGGGAATCCTCTGAACTGTCATTCATGTTAAAATTCGACACTTGCCAACAAGGACTTAACAAACATTTGAACTATCTCACCCATTACCAAGACAGTTTCCCCAATTATCACCTCTAATACCATTAACTCACAAACATCCCACTCTCCCTACCTCTAATATCATCAATTCACAGACACTTACCTTCCTTCCTCCCCCTTCCCACCCCCCCGCATCCCCCTTCTGTTCTGCAATGTGATTTGTCCTTTTCATATTTGTTCATTTTTTTAAATTGTATCCTTTGGTATATATGGTTGTGACTACTTTCTTCCACTATTTGATCTGAGGAAGTGGGTCTGGCCCACGAAAGCTCATCATCTAATAAACCATCTTGTTAGTCTTTAAAGTGCTACATTGTCCTGCATTTTGCTTCAACTACCCCAGGCTAACACGGCTACATTTCTATCACCAATCTGGAGGGGAGCTAGAGCGTTAGTGTGGGAACCTTGAGTCTCGAGGGCCACACTCACGTGAGCTGGGGTATTAGGTTCCTCACCCCTGCTTTAAAAACAAAACCTCTTACTCTTAAAAATCGATCCCCGTATCTCTGGTCGGACCAGCTTCACGCAGGTCCTCGGGGATGGAAAACTGCAGCAAACTGTATGAACAGAAACAAACAGAAGCCCCAATCGCAGCTGGAGGTGGGGCGAGGCTGCCCCAGCAGGGACACAACGGGGCAGCCGCCCCCCACCAGATCAGGCACACAACATGGTGGTTTAATCCATCTCTCTGAAATAAGGGGGAAAATAACCAAAAGCAATTTAAGATGATAAAAAGAACCAGCCAGCCTTAATCAAATCTGAGCCATAAATATGTATAGCCATCCAGAAAGTCCATTTTGAAAAGAAATAAAGAAAAGAACTGGCAGATCCCTGTTCTAAAGGGCAACCTGAGGGGAAGACTATCCAGCAACAGAATCCACTACCACTAGCCTGCAGAATATATTCAAAATGATGAACGGGTTCCTCTTTATCCTGCAAAAAGAGAATGGGTGAGTACAATCAGGTTAAAAAAATGTAAATTGTACTACTGCAGCTGGGGAAGTAAGTATGTCAGTAGCCATTTTGGATAAGTCACACAGGGCATGTCTACACTACCACCCTAGTTCAAACTAGGGTGGTTAATGTAGAGTTGCAAATGAAGCCCGGGATATGAATTTCCCGGGCTTCTTTTGCATATTGCCGGGCGCCGCCATTTTTAAATGTCCGCTAGTTCGGACTCTGTGCCCGTGGCTACACGCAGCTCGAACTAGGTAGTTCAGATTAGGCTTCCTATTCCGAACTACCGTTACTCCTCGTGGAGTAACGAGGTGTACCGGTAGTTCGGAATAGGAACCTAGTCCGAACTACCTAGTTCGAGCCCCGTGTAGTTCGAGCTACACGGGGTTCGAACAAGCAGGGATTTAAAAATGGTGGCTCCCCGCTTATGCAAATGAAGCCCGGGAAATTCAAATCCCGGGCTTCATTTGCAAGTGCGGTATGCCTACATTACCCTCGTAGTTCGAACTAGGAGGGTAGTGTAGACATACCCATAAGGACTAGTCGACTATCCGATAAGCAAAAGCTTATCAGATAGTCCAGTCAACTAGTCAATTCCCCCACTCCCCTGTGCCTCTATCAGATAGAGGCAGCAAAGGGAGGGGGAAAATAGGGGTACTTCAAAGTGGCAGCACCGCATGGAGCCCGTACCTGGGCTCTGTGCAGCACTGCTGCTTTGAAACGCCACCATGGCGGCGTTTCAAAGGGGCAGTGCCACACAGCTGATCCTGGGCTCAGCTCCATGAGGCCTGCCCCTTTGAAACACCAAGGCAGTGTTTCAAAGTGGCAGCGTTGCATGGAGCCTGAGGTCAGCTGACCCTGGATTCTGGGGAAATGCGTGCGGAACCCAGGGTCAGCTGGGAAGTCCCGTGGCATTTCAAAACAGCAGCACAGCATGGAACCCGGGTCTGAGGGGGATTCTGAGTCTCCTGCTGGCCCCAAGCTCCATGAGGGTGCTTCCACTTTGAAATGCACAAGAGCCCCCGCTGAGGACTCTTGTACATTTCAAAGCTGGCACACCGCGTGCAGCCTGGAGTCAGTGGACTTCCCACTGGCCCGGGATGTACATGGAGTTCCACATTCCTCCTTTGAAATGTACAAGAGCCCTGGGGCTCTTATATATTTCAAACGAGGAATGCGGAAGTGCCTCTCTACTAGTTGAGTAGTCGATGGAAATTCCATTGACTACTCAACTAGTAAATTACTCGCTATTTAACATCCTTATTGCAGAATGAGGCTTCCGCTCCCCTCAGCTGATTCCTTCTGAACCACCCAAAAGTAAGCAATTAACATATTTTTAAAAAGTATTTATATTGCTTTGTTAATCACAGGTATTAACTGTGATTGATTGACAGCCCTAAATAATAATATATTACAGCAGTGCCTAAGGATCAAACAAGGATGGGACCCCAGTTTGCTAAGCACTGTACAAATTAAAGTAGCAGAATGTAAGCTACTCAAAGCAGTTACTAGGTAAATAGACAAGACAGACACAGGACGTGGAAAAGGGACAGAACATAAGCAAAGTGAACTTTGTGATGGCAGCAAACATTATGGTACTCCCTTGATTTATTTGGGAATGGGGGGTTAAAAGAAATTAGTTACATGGAAACAAAACTGAAGGTAAAGGGGACATTGAAGAGTAGAGAAATACAACAATCACAGCAGAGCAGAGGAGAAGAGGGGCAAGCGTGAAGTGAATCTGAGGTTAAGTGATTGTGAGAGAGGGATGGGGAAGAGCTGGAACAAGCAGCCAATCAGTACAGGACAGAGAAAGTCCTGTCAAAAAGCACAGAAAGTTCTGTGAATGTCATCAATCATCTGGAAGTAAACATAAAACCACAGCTGATAAAGTTTGAAGATGACAAAGACTGGCAGCACTGTAAAGAATTATGAGAATATAGCATTCATACTTGGTAAGATGGGCCTATTCAAATAAAATGTGCTTTAATGTAACCAAATGCAATATTATACATTTAGGAATAAAGAATGTAGTCCATTTCTACAGAATAGGCAAATGTATCCTAGAAAGTTGTGATTATGAAAATGATGTAGGGATCTTTAGTGGATAACCAACTCAACAAGAGCTCCCAGTACGATGCTATTGCAAAAAAGTAATACAATCCTTGGTATAGAAAACAGGGAAACAGTGAGCTAGAAGTATGGAGGTGATTTTATCTCTGTGAATGGCACTGGTGGGACAGATATTAGTATACTAAGCACAATTCTGGTGTGCACATTTTAAAGAGGAAATTGAATAATTGAAGAAATTGCAGGAGAAAGTTATAAAAATTTGAGGGCTGGAGAAAAAGGCATACAGTGAGAGATTTAGAGAGCTCAATATGTTTAGCTTATCAAAAAGAAGATTGAAAGTGGACTCAATTACAGTGTACAACATCCATCACAGGGAGTAAATACCAGGTATTAAAGTGCTTTTTAATTTAATGGAAAAAGGCTTCACAAGAACCAATGGCTAAAAGCTGAAGCTAGACACATTCAAATTGGAAAGTAGACACACATACAAAAAATTTTAACAGTGAGGGTGATTATCACTGGAACAAACAATAGAGGGGAGTAGCAGATTCTTCATCTCTTGTTTCAAATCAAGATAGAATGCCCTTCTAGAAGATATACTTTAACCAAACAAAAGTTATTAGGCCCAAAACAAAGGGATAGAGCAGATGAGGTCAGACTAGTGATCTAATGGTCTCTTCTGCCCCAAAAAATCTATAAATAAATTTATTAATCTAGAACAAAACAAAAATGATTAGGGGCTGCTTGATACAACATCTTTTTAAAATTATAACTATTTCCCATCTAATCACATTTTCAGTACTTAAGAGTATAAGACATGCTCTGGATAGTCCAAGAAAGTATTCACTTTAAAGGAAATTATTTCCATATGTATGCCCTTCCAGAGTCCAGAAGACAGTCTGAAACCATACAAAGGAGTGTAGGTATAAAATGGTTTCCTTCTCTACTGGAAGCAGTGCCAAATGGAGTGTGCTGTGTACCTTTAGACTCTAGTGCAATTATCTCAACAGTGGAAAGGAAGAGGCTAGGCCTGTAGCATTCTGACTGCTCTCAGTGACTTCCACAGATCTCATGTTGTGTGAGA